AGGCTCTGCTGGCAGACAAACCACACGCAACCAGCTGGGTACCCCAACCCTGGAAATCAGCCTGTCCAGGGAGAGAAGGGAGGAGGCATTGAGTGCGTGCCTCCTGGAACCACTCACTTGAAATGGTCCTGCAATGCGACATTGAAGTCGAAGGCATCACCTCGGTCCCCGAAGCCAATTCCAATGAACGCCCGTCGCCCTGGCGGACAACACATGATCAGGCCACTTTGCCGAGGCAGAGGAAACCCTTCTCAAGAGGAGGAAGCACCAAGACCCACGCCTACCGTTTCCATCTTCAATGCGGATCACGAAGTACCTGCTGGAATCCGTCACGCTCTCCACGGCTGTGCCAGGAAACTGATCCACGGGGGCCTGAGCAAAGAGCTCCCCTGAAAGCAAAAGTTAGGGTGAGGCTTGAGCCCCTCCCACCCTGATCTTTCTATCACATCCTGGGGCCTTTTTCCTGCGAGGCAGATGGGCAAACCTTACTCTGAGATTCAAATCAAATCCATTCTGGCTGAAGGGAAGACACAGGAACATAACCAAGGAAAGTGAGAGGTGGCTTACAGGTCAGACCTAGTTCACAGTTCTAATACTTTTAATTTAACTGCCAAACATTTCAGAATCAAATTACACATAAAATAATCTAGATTTCTGGCTTCTCTTAAAATCAAAAGCTCTAGCAATGCGGGGCCTGAATTCGCACATGAGAACGATGGGCTGAACAGCCGTTCCATCTGCCTCACCCACTTTCATTAGCTGCCTGCACCCTGAGGGCCCTGAGCAGGTGAGCCCCGGTCCAGGTACATCACACCTTCTGAAAAGGCCTGGTACCCGGGGCAGGACTGCAGAGGAGCTGTGAACCCAGTGGAAAGGAGGAAGTTTTCTACCCAGAGAAAAAAATCTGAAGCAGGTTGATTTAATCTCAGAGACAAGACAAAAGAGGGATTGGTTTTAAAAGGAGCCCTTGGGAAATACATCCCACTGTCAGCCACAGATCCCTAGGGCGCAGTGCAACAAACACATACTGTGAGCATTTATGACCGGCATCATCTGCATGTGTTCTGACTTCTGATGGCGCTTTAAGTATTTAACCAAATATTTTCTACGGGATCCTATGGTTCAGAGGTGACCGTGCAATCAAGGCTGAACTGAACAAAATCAGTGGCCCCAGAGCCTGGAGCTTCTCGTCAATTTCTCTGCCGCCCCCCTAGTTTGGTACCTGGGAATCTGGGACTTTCCCGGATGCCTTCAGCCCAGAGCAGCAGTTCTCAACCAGGGGTAATTTTGCTCTCCCTTCCCCCAAGGGACATCTGGCAACATCTGGAGACGTTTTTCGTTGTCACAACATGGGGGGTGCTACTGGTATCTAGTAGGCAGAGACTAGGGATGTTGCTAAATATCTTAAATTTGACTCGACAGCCCACAACATTCACCTGGCCCCAAATGTCACTAGTGCTAAGGCTGAGAAATCCTGACCTAGAATGACTGGAAAGCAAGAGACAAACATGACCCAGTGGGCATGACCCTGAGCCAGGGTCCTGCAGGCGAGGCTCAGCCCTGGGCAGTGGCTGCTACACTAGGCGGGCACCTTAAAGTCAGTTCTCAAGGCTCCCAGAGAATAGGTGTTGCCATTCCCCAAAGCGACACCACCTGGGACATCTCAGCCAATCTCACAGCCAAAGTTCTCCAGCCTAGTCGTGGCAGCTATCTCTTCAGACTCCTCCTCAGTCAATACTCACCCTGCCAACCCCACGCTCCAGAACAAATCAATGCCTTGGGTCACCTCACGGTTCACACAGCAACTGGATAAATATGTGTTCACTTCATATTTCCAAGAACCTTGTGAAGTAGGAGATAACGTGATCTCCATTTCAACAAAAAGGAGGCCAAGGCGCCAGGGGTCACATGGCTCATCCAAGGTCCCACAGCTCAGACACAAGCGACACAGCTCTGAGACCAGGCAGCCAGTTCTGCCTATGAATTTTTGCACTTTGTTCTGCCCCATAAAGGAAAACGTCTATGCATTAGAGAAAATAAACGACCGAAAGCTGAGGCACCTGACCGAGTGGGCACTGCGCCCCACCGCTGCTCTGGGGGCTGGGGCCGGGGCTATGCCAGGCGCTGTCGCCCTCCGCAGCTCACCCAGAGGCAGCGGTGACGCAGGACTTCCAGAGAGACTTCCCCAAAGGTGACATCTGCCAGCTGACCCCAACACAGCCCAGCCTGGCTTGTCCTCTCACCGCAGAAAGAGCTGAGTAGGACAGTTTCCAGCTCTTTCCGTTAGCGGGCGCGGTCAGTCTGGGGAGTCACCATTTAGTCGACAAACAGAATTCCTGAGTAGGAACTGGAGCTCAGCAGCAGGGGGCTGTGCATCTTCACCCAGCTGATCTTCAAGGCAAGCTCCAGGGCTCCCTACTCGGGACCAACCCGCAGGTCTGCTCTCCTTGGGCTCCAAAATTAGCATTTTCTTAAGGACCCCCAGAGGGAACAGCCGCTTGACAGGAAATACTCCCCTTGAGACCTGGGGACAGTGGTTTCCACAACTAAGATGGGGGAACGGAGGAGGCTGAAGGTGCCCAGACCCCTGGGCGGACTGGCCAGGCCCAGGCTGCCTCTCCCTTCACAGAGCAGGCGCACACAGGCCTCCCCTGCCTTTACCTGAGGTCCTGTCCTCCAGCTTGATGTAGGCCACCTGCCCTTTTGCAGTGATCCGCAGCCGGCCACTCCATGATGGCTGGTCTAGCTGCCACTCCGCAGCCCTAAGGGGACAAAAACCATTGAGCCTCGCCAGAGGCTCCTGCCCCAGCACTCCAATGCCGGGGCGGGAACGCGCAGGCCCTGCGGGCTGCTGGCTCTAGACCAGGGGCTGGCAAACTCTCTCTGCGAAGGGCCACAGATCTCGGTCACAACCACTGTGCCGTTGGAGAGTGAGCGCTGTCACAGACAGCACGTGAGAGCTGGTGCTTTAAGTATCTCAACCAAATGGCTTCTACCGAGCGCGGCTGTGGTTCAGTGAAACTTCATGGACCCTGAAATCTGAGTTTCATATAATTTTCACATCATCAAATGTTCTCCTTTTAAATTTTCCCCATTCAAAAATGTGAAAACCATTCTTAGCTTGCGAGCCATACAAAAACACAGTGGGTTGTAGTTTGCCGGCTCCTGTTCTAGGCTATTGAGCCCTTGTCTGAAGGACTTCCAGTTTTCTTTCTGCAGAGGAAGCAGCTACTGGGGCCTGTTGTTTGTTTAAGATGCTGCTAGGCTGAGGTGGTCCGAGTGGCCATTTGGGACCACCGAGACCATTTTGGAGGAAAAGGACAGAGGGGAGCAGTAGTTCCAGTGAGGAAAGTGCGTGGGCGTTTAAGAAACATACTCTCAAAGGTATCCTAGGCAGAAAGAAACCCAGGAACCCATGGCCCTACAGCAATGCCCACTTTTGGCATTTTTGAAGCAATGACTTCACACTTTAGCTCTAAGCAGCAGCTCAGTAAAACCCCCAAACAGCAGGAATCCTGGGTGTTTCCAGGGGGCTTTTCTCGGAAGTCCCTAAGCACACGCCAGTTCTCAAGAACTCTGAGACAATGTAACTGTGGGCGCAAGCTGTTCTGAAGGCCACACAAATGCAGACACTCAACTCACAAGTCAGCCAACTCAGTTTCAGTTCCTCTTACTGGGGCAACAAGCCTTAGACTCAGGCTCAGCCGAGCTCTATGCCAACCAGCCGGCCCTGACACTTGGTAACCTCCCCCCTCTGGGGGACGCAACCCATTCTACTCAAGGGGGTGGGGGTAGACGACCATCCTTGGTTGGTGGCTTGGTTGGATGATAGAAAATAAACGTTTTTGTTATTGTTACTATTGTTGCTTTCATACTATCTTAAAATTATGTCACCGATGTAGTAGGTGTTCAATAAAATACTTGTTCAACAGAAAATCAGCTATAAGCCTGGGTCCACACAACTGGAAACTAACAAGAGGCCAGATATGTGGACACTCTGTCATTCTTGAGGTGCAGGCCAATCCTGTATTTCCAAATAACTAGCACGAATATCACCTTCAAGAGCCCTCCCCCCAAACCGCACCCCCCCCCCCCCCCCCGCCCAAGTGGCACGAAAGAGCCCTAGGCCAGGTTGTCTGGATCAGGTGTATCTTTTTCCTTTTATATCTCCGGTTCCCTTTCGATAGGGAATCCACACACATGGTAACAAAATGCAAACAGAACAAAAGCGCGGGCAGCGAAGGGAAGTCTCCTTCCGACCCCCGTCCCCCTCCCGAGGGAAGTTTCCTGTTCCCTTTCAGACACTCTAGACATTTACGAGCACATTTCGTCTCCTGTGAACATTTCACCAGAGAAACGCGGACGGACTCCCCCCACCGCCACAGGCAGGGACGAGCGGGGAAGCTCGTGCGAAGGGAGCTGGGCAGGGGGGCGGCCTTCAGCTGCGGCCATCAGCTTAAAGCTCCCCGGGACGGGTCCTTCTGGCCAGTTCCGGGCTCCCTTCCCTCCCCTCCGGGATTTCCGCGAATGATAGGGCCTCCCCCACCTTAAGGCTTTTCAAGGATCCCTTCAAAGCCATCAGCGCGGAAAGGAAAAGGTTTGTGACATGACCGGTCCCCACCACGTTTAGGGTACCGGGGAGCCCACTGGGTCCCCAAGCGCTAGACACGGCCTTAACGCCTTCCCTGTCGCCGGAAGACCCCTGCGTCGGACTCAGACGGCCAAAAGGCTGGGTCCCCCTCCCTGCTCTGGCCTCGAACTCAAGGCGCCGCAGCATCACCTCCCCCTCACCCCTCAACCGGCCGGGGCTGCCCTCGGCTCCCGCAGTGGGTGTGTCGGGGCTAGCTTGACCGGCGGTGGGGCGGTCACCTGTAGCCACGGTTGGTGGCCCGCGGCGGGATGCGGTAGACATGGACCTCCGGCTTGACACAGAGCACCGACTCGTACTCGCCCTCCTCCATCTCGACGCCGGGGCCCACCGGACTTCCGGCTCCTTGCCCGCCGGGGCCGGAAGCGCCGCGACTCTATGACCCGGGTCAGGCTAGAGCGGCGCCCCGGGGCCTCAGCACCCTCTCGCCCGCGCGCCCTCTGCTGGAGTCTATGCAGAAGTCAAAATAGAACGATGGACACCTGAAATTTATATAGTTATAAACCAATATTACCTCAATTAAAAAAATAAATAAAAGTATCTGTTCAAGAGAAAAAAAAAAAAGACATGCGGCGAATGGACCCAGGAGCCAATCTGATGAGGACCAGGGTCCTCAGGAGACTTCCCCCTCCCACAAGGCCCCAGGAGGAAACTTCAAGGCCGACCCCAGCGTAATCAGAAACTGTTGTCTGCTTATGGCTCATCTCCATCACCGCAACGCTTAGACGTGGGGTCCAGCTGGCTGAGATTCCTGAGATTCAAAGCTGTAGCTACCTACGCAGCTCACCTGAAGCCTCTCTCTCGTCCAGGGTTTGTTTCCCTCTGCTGTTCCTGAATGTCTTCCCTTCTCCCGACTCTGTAAGACTCGACTGAGGCTTCTCCTCCTAGAGACATCCTTACCTGACCCGCCACACGAAGTAGGATGCCCCTACCCTGCCGCCCTCATCCTAACCCACCATGTGCCCAGGGCCCCCTGTGGCCTTGACTCAACAATGAGTTCTGTTCAAAGCAACAAAGTTTAGTAACATAAGTAACTAAAAATAATCCCAATCTTCACTTGGATTTCTCACAGAATGCTACAGGGGATACAATGTCTAACCACAATCAAATGCTTAAAATCTCTCCTCCTCCCCGACCTGACTCTCATTCACTCCGCGAATATTTGGTAAGTGCTTACGATGTGCCAGGTCCCTCGAGGGGCAAAGCGGATCCCAAACCTCTGATTCACTGAATGCTCCCAAACGTTCTCTGCCCTCCTTTGCCCTCTCCTGTCTCTCTCCTTTTATTCACTCTGTGTAAGCTCTTTGCTACAGGATTGATCTAACCTCCTAAATTAAAAAAAATTTATTGTGGTAAAATATACATAACATAAACTTTACCATTTTAAGTGTACAATTCAGTGAAATTAAGTACTTCACAATGTTGTATAACTATCGTCAGTATCTATTTCCAGAACTTTTCATCACCCCAAACAGAAACTCTGTACCCATTAGGCAATAACACCCCACTTGCCACTCCCCGAACCCCTGGTAACCTCTATTTTAGTTTCTATGCATGAGTTTTCCTATTCTCAATGCCTCACGTAAGTGGAATCATACAGTATTTCTCCTTTAGGACTGGCAAATTTCACTTAGTTTAATGTTTTCAAGTTTCATCCATGTGTCAGCATTTCATGCCTTTTAATGGCTGAATGATATTCCACTGTATGGATAGACCACATTTTGTTTATCCGTTCATCTGTTGATGGGCATTTGGGTTGTTTCCACCTTTTGGCTATTTGTGAATAATACTGCCATAAACAGTGGTGTACAAACACCTGTTCGAGTCCTTGTTTTCAAGTCTCTTGAGTACGTATCTCGAAGGGGACTTGCTGGACCACATGGTAATTCTATGTTTAGTTTTTTCAGGAATCACCAAACTGTTTTCCGCAGCAGCTGCACCATTTTACGTTCCCATCAACACTGAGCAAGGGTTCTGATTTTTCCACATCCTCGCCAACACTTATTTTCCACTTTCTTTGATAACAGTCATCGTGATGAGTGTGAAGTTAACCTCTGTTTATGTGAATTGATTTAACCTCTCATTTCAACTTTGCTCATTACCCTGATTCTCCACAACAAAGAAGAAATTGAGAAATCATCCAGAAAATGAGGTTTCTTCCTCTAAGTTCTTTGATCCTGTCTCTCATTTTCCTGAACTCCTGGGGAAGCAGATAGAACTCCCCTTACAAGGTGGAGGGGGAGAGAAGTTGCTAGGGGAGGGGGGGGCACACTCCCACACTGAGAATCTTAGCCGCTCACATTCTCATCATTCTGTTTATCTGCTCTCCCACTAGACTGTAAGCTTTCTGAACGCAGGACCCTGTCCCTGCCGCCTGTGGACCCCTGTATTCAGTGGCACAGGGCCTGGCGCAGAGTAAGTGCTCAGTGAATGAATTAGTGAGTGAATGGGTGTGTGTGTGTGTGTTCAGTTGGCTACATCCCAAAGCCAAGTGGCAATTTGGGGATAGGCCGCCATGTTTTCTCTTTCACATTCTGCACAACGCAGGGGAAAATAGGGTCTCCCAGGAGTAAAGAACCTCGACCCAATGAGTCAGAGAAACTTCCAGCTAGGAGAGCATCTAGGACCAGCTCTCAAGAGCTGAACTTTGGGGTAGTGGCCACCGTCAGCACCAACTTCCACCACTTCTGCTCTGGAAGCCAAGCAACGTGAAGGCAGCCCATGGTGACTGTTTTGGGCCTTGCCATGTGGCTGCCACGGATAGGAAAACTTCCTCTCATGAACTTTGAAGGGAATCATCACCCTGTGCTGGGGCAGCCGGGTCTTCTGATGTGTCCAGAGCACTTTCAGTTCAGTTCAGTCTCACAAAGACGGGCCTTGAGCACCTATTGTATGCCAGGTCCTGGGTGCTGGGGCCACAGAGATGAGGCCAACCCAGCTCCTGCCTTCATGGAGCTCACAGACCCAAGGAGACAGGAAAAGAGTCATTTGCAATGCAGAGGGAAAAGTACTATGATGGAAGAAACTCATAGGGCCTGTTGGAGCGAAGAGAAGAAAGACCTCCCTCAGCCTAGGGGCAGTCAGGGAAGGCTCTCTGGAAGAGGTTACCTTGACACAATAATCCCTGTGATGTAGGCAGCGTGAGGATTGTCATCCTCACTGTGTGATGGAGGCCAATGAAACAGTGACCAGCCCAGGGAAACTACAGTGTCCTCTAGGCAGAAGAGGCCAGATAGTCCTTTACCTTATTCTCAAACTCCAACTACATGGCTGGACATTCCCAAAACGAGTTCCTGAACCTCTGCTGCCGGGAATAACTGGACCTGCTGTCAACAACCAGGTTAACTACGTTACTTACCAAACGAACTCAATTCAGCCCAACAGGCAGAGCATAAGCTCAGACAGAGCCCATCACATGTGTGAGGAGGCGATCAGAGGAGCAGAATCTTGCTGTGTTTCATCCAGCTGCTTTCTGGTAGGTCCAGGGCCAAGGTGGGGGGTCTGATGTGAGCAGCTTTCCCTGGTGGCCTCCAGAAGTATATAGTATAGGTCACTTGTTATCTTTCTTTGCTGTATTTTTCTGCCACTGTAGACATTGCTAAGAGAAATTCCCCCATTTCTCAGATGAGGAAACCTCTTCCCAAAGGGCACTCAAAACCAAAACAATGTTGAAAAAGAACAAAGTTGGAGGACTCACACTTCCCGATTTCAAAACTTACTGCACAGCTACAGTAATCAAGACAGTACAGTACTGGTATAATGATAGACTTATAGAAAAAGGGAGTAGAATTGGGAATCCAGAAATAAACCCTCACATTTACAGTCGGTTGACTTCCCATAAGCGTGCCAAGACAACTCGATAGAGAAAGAATAGTCTTTTCAACAACTGGTGCTGGCATGAGGTATCCACATGCAAAAGAATGAAGTTGGACCCCTACCTCACGCCATATACAAAAGCTAGTTCAAAATGGATCATAGACCTAAACATAAGAGCTAAAACTATACAACTTTTAGGAGAAAACATTGACATAAATCTTCATGATCTTGGATTTATGTTATAATAAAAAGAATCTGATGGATTCTTAGATATGACAGTAAAAGCACACACAACAAAAGAAAAATAAGTAAATAGGACTTTAGCATAAACACAAAACTTTGTGCTGCAAAGGACAAAAGTCCATGTAATGTGAGAAAAATTTGGCAAATTATATATCTGACCAGGGCTTGCATCTAGAATATATAAAGAACTCTCACCATTCAATAAAAAGACAAATAACCCAATTTATAAACAGGGAAAAGATCTGAATAGACATTTTTACAAAGAATATACGCAAATAGCCAATAAGCACATGAAAATTTCCTCAACATTAGCCATCGGGGAAATGCCAAAAGCACAGTAAGATACCACTTCATACCCACACTCACAGGGATGGCTAGACTAAAAAAAAGACAGTAACCAGTGTTGGGGAGGATGTAGAAAAATTGGAATGCTCATACACTGCTGGTAGGAATGTAAAATGATGCAGCCACTTCAGGAAAGAGTCTGGCAATTTTACTCAAGAGGCTAAACATAGAGTTATTACATGACTCAGCTATTCCAGCCCAAGGTATATACCCAAGGGAAATGAAACGCATGTTCACACAAAAATTTGTACATCAATGGTCATGGTGACATTGTTCATAGTAGCCAAAAAGTCGAACCCAAATGTCTATCAACTGATGAATGGATATACGAACTGTAATATGATCTTGTATCATGGAATAAAGGGCTGTACGAACAACAACATGGATGAAGCTTGAAGATACTCTGCTAAGTGAAAGAAGCCAGTCACCAAGGACTACATGTTGTATGATTCCATTTGTATGAAATGTCCAGAACAGGCAAATCTATAGAGACAGAAAGTAGATTAGCTGTTGCCTAGGGCTGGGGGTGGAAGGAGTAAGGTGATGGCTAAGGCGTGTGGGGTTTCTTTTTGGTCTGATGAAAATGTTCTAAAATTGAGGTGATGATTGCACAATTCTGTGAATATACTAAAAGCCTTTGAATGGTACACTTTATATGGGTGAGTTGTGTGGTATGTGAATTAAATCTCAATAAATCTGTGAACAAGAAGAGGACTAAACGGGGCTGGCCCAGTGGCTCGCACGTTCCACTTTGGCGGCCCGGGGTTCACCAGTTTGGGTCCCAGGTGTGGACCTGTGCAGCGTTTGTCAAGCCATGCTGTGGCAGGCGTCCCACATATAAAGTAGAGGAGGATGGGCACAGATGTTGGCTCAGGGCCAGTCTTCCTCAGGAAAAAGGAGGAGGATTGGCAGCGGATGTTAGCTTAGGGCTAATCTTCTCACCAACCCCCTCCCCCAAAAAAAAAGGACCAAGTGCTCTGAAAGGGGGACATAGTCCGTATTTGTGCCCCACCCCGCTCAGTTCTGTCCTCGGATTCCACGGCCTTCTGCTAGGGTTGGGGCTTCCCCTTCTTGTCCAGCTCTCCCAGAGTTTGTAAGCTCCAGATGGGGATGGAGAGGGGGCTGGGTCCCCTTTGGCCTCTGGCCTCCTAGAACTTCAGCTTGTGGAATATTGGGGCCTGAGGGTTCTGAGGTGGAGACAGTGGACAATGAGGGGCGGGTGTGAGGAGTCTGGGGGCAAGGGGAATTACCCCCAGATGGGCACCCCTGTGGCAGGAAGGCTCAGAGGAAGAGGCACGCTTAGGGAGCCCTGATGGGAGACGGCAGGGAGAAGAGAGGCCCTCCAAGGGAAGAGAGAGGGGCCTGGTCACAGCCCTGACATCTCTAGGTCCTCTGGGAGCCTGCAGCTGCGCCTGGGGTGAGGGGTCCCAGGGGAGCGGAGGTCTCATTTGCATTGTGGGGGTGCAGGCTTAACTGCAGAAAGCATGGGAGGGTGGGTAAGGTTGAGAGGAGTGGGGGGTGGATCTGAGTCAGCACTGTGAGGGGCCCCTCCTCGGTTCCCCTCGTAACCCATGAGAGCCATCAGAACACCCAGTGTGTCCCCAAGGCCTGACGTTGTGCCTAGCACGGGCCCGTGTCATTAAACGATTGTTGATTGCGTAGGTAAATGAGTGAATGGCTTAAGCTTCTTTGGAGGCAAGATAATATGGTGAGATAAGCAGCCTTGGGAGGCCACAGGCCTGGGTTCGAATCTAGTTTCTCCACAGACTAGCCTGTGGCATTGGACAGGACACTAGGCTATTCTGCGTCTCGGTTTCCTTATCTTTTTTTTTTTTTTTTTTGAGGAAGATTAGCCCTGAGCTAACTACTGCCAATCCTCCTCTTTTTGCTGAGGAAGACTGGCCCTGAGCTAACATCCATGCCCGTCTTCCTCTACTTTCTGTGTGGGACACCTACCACAGCATGGCTTGCCAAGCGGTGCCATGTCCACACCTGGGATCTGAACTGGTGAACCCTGCCTGGGCCGCCAAAGTGGAACGTGCGCACTTAACTGCTGCGCCACTGGGCCGGCCCCTCTTTATCTTTAAAACAAGGCTGAACCCACTCACGTCACAGGGTGGCTAGGAGAATACGATTTGCAAACATGTCCAGCAAGTAGAAGGTTCCTCCGTGGGTGATGGCTGGCCTGCTATGATTTAAAGTGGAAGAAACACCATCAAGATCTTCAAGGGGTAGGATTTGCCCCTAGAAACTGGTTAATGGTGAAGAGGGGTCCACGACGTACCATAGAAATGGTGTTGATGTTGCTTCACAGGAATTCAGAGGCTGGAGAGAGGGCTGAGGCGGTTGGGAGCTTAGAGAAGAGGTGGGAGCTTGAAGGCTGGGGTAGGGAGGTGTCAGAGAGACAGAAGTAGGAGGCCAGCACCAAGGCTGGGGGTCTGTGGGGTTAGGACCGTAGGGGTGTGCCCAGACCAGAACAGAGCGTCTGCTTGGGGGATGGCGGTGTGGCCGAATCTGAGGCTGGATGGCAGAGGCAGAAGGAGCGACACTAAGAAAGGCCTTGGAAAGAGCAGTGTCCAGGGCAGGGTGGGGGTGCTTTGGCAAACTACATATTGCCACTGTAGACCTTAGGGTCCCCAGGACAGATGTTCCCAACTCCGGTTCCTTAGTCCCAAGAAGAGCTTGGCGTTTTCACGTATAGCAGCAGCAACCATGACATTCTTGGGCTCTCTTTAGAACGCGTGTTCGTCTATTCAAGGCTCTGAGAAAGTCTTGCAGGAAAGAGCTGGTTTCATTTTAACTCAGCACTTTCCAAACACCTTTGGCTTCATGACCGTTTTTTTGTGATTCACCTTGTGGGACCAATATTCTGGAGAACACCCGAGAGGAAATGCTGCCGTCGGGGAGAGTGCCCGGATTTTGTGATCCAACAGGCTGTGGTTTGATTCCTGGTCTATGACCTTGTTGGTATTGAACCCTGGGTGAGTCACTTTACTCCAGAGAGCTTCCTCTTCCTCAGGTCATTGTGAGAATTAGGAAACATATGTGGGTAAACTGCACGTGGCTGCTCTCTGGTTTTGCTGCACCCTCCTCCTGTGCCAGGCCTGGCCCTCTGTATTACAGGCTCCATGTGGGCTGCTGAAGAGGCGGTTAGGTAACGGGCTTGGTGGAACTGTCATTGAGTTTCTCCTGTGGGAGCTCAGTGGCTGATGCCCCTCACTTGGTACCCTTGCTGGCCCTGGCACAATGGACAACAGAAATGCCCAGGTGTACATGGAGAGTAGGATCAAGGCCCCAGGGGCCCGGCCAGGTCCTGGCCTGAGGACTGCCAGCAAGAGGGCTGGTGTTGAGCCCATCAGATCAGTGGTTAGCCAGGTAGGGACCTGCACCTCATATTCTGATCCCTCACTCCCAGCAGGCACCTTTCCCCTCCCCTGCCCAGGTTTTCTCTCCAACTGCTTTAATTAAGACTCAGTTACAAGTGACACAAAACCCATTTCCAACTGGATCAGGCAGGAATCAGAACACAACAGCTTGGGTAACTGACAAAGCTACCAGTAGACTTCAGGTATGGCTGCATCAAGGTGCTAAACAAGTTTCTCTTGGCTCTGCCTCTCTCTGTGCCATTCCCAGGCAGGCTTTCCTTGTAAGACAGCAGGAATTGCCCTGACCACTCCAGGCTTACATCTTCACATCTTATATCCTCTGGCATAGCATCCCCAACAGGAGAAGAAACTCTCTGGTATCACTGTCATTGGCCCAGATTGTGGTCGCATGCTCACCTTGAACCAGTCACCGTGGCAGGGCAGAGTGGCCCGGATCTCTTGGTACAATGGAGCCAGAGGTGGTACTCAGTTGGCTCCACTGAGCCCCATGGGCCGAATTGAGAAGGGAAGGTTCCCATAGAAAGAATGCTGGCTTCTGTTACCAGCAGAGATGCTGGGTGAGCAAAACAGGAATTGCCTGCTTACTCTACTTGGTGCCTTCCATGGCCTCCAGCTCCCTTATAACCTTTATTCCCTGGCAGCTGCCCGAGGCTTCCATCCATGACCCTCCCCAGCCCCCAGCCTGTATCCTAAGCTTTCATCACATCTCTCAGCCTCTTTCCATCAAATATTTTTTTTAAGCACCAAGTGGTGTGAACTGAAAAAGCACGGAGAAGGTCCTCCTCCCCATCTAGTTTCCCCAGAGCCAAAAATGTCACCATAAAAAGTCAACATTATAAATCCTGGCTCCCCTGGGGGCAGGGAGACAGCCTGGAGGGGGGTCTTGGAAGGAGGCTGGGGCAAACCTTCAGGGCTTCCTTCACTCACTCACTGATTTTTTCAGCGAGCATAGTCGTGGGGTCTCAGGCCTGGCACTCAACCAGCTGTGTGACCTGGGACATGTCGCTGCACCCCTTCGCACCTCATTGTTCCATGTGTGTCACGATGAGGACTAGCTGGGTTTCGTCCCTGGAGGCGCCGGGCACGGGCTCCGCCTCGGGGCAGGTGCCCTCAGTGTTGGCTCGCAGCGGAATCCTGCATTATAACGATCATCACCAATTGCGTGAGCCGGGTTGTCCAGAGTGTCCTGACTCAGACGAGGCTTGGAGCTGGCTCTGAGTCACGGCTCAAGGTCTCCCATCTAGGGAGTGACAGACCCAGATGGGCAACACAACCCAGTTCCAGAGCCTGAGCTCTGAAGTCGTGGAAATTGTGGAAGCCTCTCTCCGACCTTGTGAGGGTCTTGAAGTCCTCCGGGGTGCTCTGGCAAGCTGTCCTCAGTGAGACCCCCTGGCTCAGGCACCACTCCGGATGCCAGATTCAGGCTGGAGCCGTTAGTGCTGACTGGCAGCCTCTCGGCTGGGCCGGGCCCTGCACCCCAACCTCTCTCTCTCCCTGGCTCCTGCCTCCTCCTCGCCGCTCTCCAGCGCCTTCCCCAGTTAGGCACAGGATCTCTCTGTCGCTGAGGCCGGGACGATGCCCAGGGAGTGGGAGGAGACCTCGGGAATGTGTCTTCTTGGCCAGCCCCTGAGCCAGCACTGTGGGCATCTCTGTTCCAGGTGGTGTTTCCAGATGCTGTCAGGATGAGCAGCAGGAAGCAGCCCTTGTCAGCTCCGGGAGGGCCAGAGAAGGGGCCTGGACACAGAGAAGCATCAGAGGAGGGGCCTGCAGAGGTCAGGACCCAGGAGCAGAGGCATCTGACGGGACCAGGGTGAGCTGGGGCTTCCAGAAAGCCAGTCCAGGAGGGAACCCCTTGTGAGCCACCTGGCGGGGAGAGAGAGGAGAGAGAACTCCCAGCCAGGTCAATCCTCCCAGCCACCGCACCGGCACCCCTCTCTCACAGCACGAGGCACATGCAAAATGACTTGGGGTAGCCTCTTGTCTGAGCTCCCCACTAGACCACAAGCTCCTCTTATGTGTCCTGTTCAGCCTCAAATGCTCATGCCTGGGACTGTGCCTGGCACACAGTAGATGCTCAATAAATATGTATTCACTGAATTAATAAAAGAATACATAAAATATGTATTCACTGAATTAACAAAAGAGAGACTGAGAGACACAGAAACACACATTTACATGGTATTATTGTTATTATTTTCTAAGTATTGTATATATTTTTAAACTTTACAGTGAGAATGTATTCCTTCTTCTTCTTTTTTTTTTGGTGAGGAAGATTGGCCCTGAGCTAACATCTGTTGTCAATCTTCCTCTTTTTGCTTGAGGAAGATTGTCCTTGAGCTAACATCTGTGTGCCAATCTTCCTCTATTTTGTATATGGGACACTGCCCCCACATGGCTTGATGAGCAGTGCTAGGTCAGCACCCAGGATCTGAACCCACAAACTCTGGACCTCTGAAGTGGAGCATGCAAACTTAACCACTACACCACAAGGCCTGCCTGAGGATGTATTCTTTTTAAAAATAGAAAATCGAGACAGAGCCAGAGAGAGGCAAAGAGAAAGGCATGGGAAACAGGAATAGTAAAGACTAGTTAGCTTATCATTTCAGTTTGATTATAACCTAAAACCTCTGAATAACCTTTTCTCCATGAAAAGAGAGAAATCAATTACGGCCAGGCTTGAGCTGCCTGACACAGATGCAGCATACCTCGCCGGCGGAAATACAAACCATTTCAACACTTCTGCTTAAGCAACTTAGCGACTTGTGTAAATTGCCCTCAAACTGTCTTTACCTTCATTTCTAGAAATATACCCTGGGGAAATAACTGAAGATTCAGGCAAAGTTTTACGCACAAAGATTTTCACTGCCACATTACTTTAAATACCAAAAAATTGGAAATGCCAGTGTGCTCTAAATGCCCACAACAGGGGAACAGTTAAGTAAATTATGATTATCTATAAAATACAGAATTTTATACTTTCATTAAAAAGCATATTTATGAAAGATTTTTGGCATGGGAATAATTTAGGCTATAATATTACTTGAAAAAAGGTTATAAAATTGTATATGCAATATAATTATAACTTTGTAGAATTTGCAATTATTTGAAGATGGTAATTAAATAAATCCCCATTAGAAATCCATATGTAGGAGCCGGCCCTGTGGCCAAGTGGTTAAGTTTGCACGCTCTGCTTCGGCGGCCCAGGGTCTCGCTGGTTCAGATCCTGGGCACGGACCCAGCACCGCTCATCAAGCCATGCTGAGGTGGCGTCCCACATGCCACAGCTGAAAGGACCCACAACTAAAAGTATGCAGCTATGTACTGGGGGGCTTTGGGGAGAAAAAGAAAAATAAAATCTTAAAAAAAAAAAAAAAGAAATCTGTGTATATATCCACATGAAGAAGCCTGGAGCAAACGCCCAGAACATTAAAGTGAGATCAGGCGGGCACAGACTCAAATCCTGAGCTGTCAACTTCGGCTTTATGACTTTAGGCTCAAATCTCTCAACCTCTCTGAATCCCAGTTCTCTCTGATTTTATGTTTTTAAAATTAATAACAAAATATTAAACATTAATAAAATATTAAATTCTAACTCCTCTAAGCATTGACATCAAAGTGTCTGTGATTTAGGGAATTCACGTCAGTCCCTCATTCGTTCTCCCGGGCATTAGGTATGCGCCTGCTGTGTGCCTAGCTCTGCACAGGTGCTCTGGGAACTACAAAGCAGTATGAGAATATAAAACTACATCCCAGTCCAGAAGCTGACGTGTCCCTTTGTCTGTGCTCCGCAGGGAGAAGCGGTCACCTTGGGGCCCCCAGGAGGGGCCCGGGGAGCCGCAAGCGGGCCAGGACCAGGCCACGCCAGGAAGTGAGCTGGGGATGCTGCCTTCCGGGGTCCCTGCAGCACATGCAGGGATGAAGCAGCTGGGCTCAGGGAAGGAGACTGAGGATGAGCAGAGGGGACAGCAGACCCCGGGGACGGTGGAGGGTGAGGCCCCCGAGAGCTGCCAGGTATGTCTGTGAAGACGTGCTCAGGGAGAACGGAATGACCCACACCTGGGAGGGGAAGGAGCCTCCATGCCCCCCATTCTGGGGCACTTGTGTCTGCACCTGTCTGCGCTGGAGGCGTCCGTGCGGGTCACTGGGATGTTCTGGATATTCTTCATTGTCCACAGCAAGCCTTTCCGCCTTGTTTCCAGAGGGGCCCCACGGGTGCTGGAGGCAGGGGGGAGGTGGGGGGTTCTGCTGACCATCAAAATGGGGACATGCTGGGTTTGATAAAGCTCCAACAGGTTTCTTTATGCCAGGATATCCTAGGAGCTGTTTCTCAGCTGCTGAGCTCGGTGGGACCTTGCAAGAGGTGGTCGGACAGTGACTTTTCCAAACTTATTTGACCACAAAATACCTTTTCAGTTATTTTTACTTTATGATATGGTTTTTTTTAAAACAACTTCAGTGAGGTATAATTGACATACACTTGCACATACTTCAAGTGTGCAATTTGATGTTTTGAACATATTTATACACCCACGAAATCATTACAAGTAAGAAAAGCAACACATCTGTCACCTCCCAAAGTTCCCTGGTGCCCTTTTGTCATCCCTCATCCCTCCTGCCTCCCATCCCCAGGCAACCACTGACCTGCTTTCTGTGGCTGTGGATTTGTTTGTATTTCCTGGAATTTTACATAAATGGGAGCATACAGTATACATTCTTCCTGTCCGGCTTCTTTCACTCAGCATGATTATTTTGAGATTCATCTGTAATGGTGCGGATCAATACTTCGTTCTTTTTGTTGCTGAGTAATATTCCCCTGAATGGATATACCACAGTTTCTTCATCCCTTCATCTGTTGACGGACATTTATTTTGTTCTCACTTTTTGACTATGACAAATAAAACTTCTACAAACATTCATGTCCATATGGATATATGTTTTCACTTCTCTTGGGCAAATAGATACCTAGGAGTAGAATGGATCATATGGTGTATGTATGTTTAACTTATTAAGAAACTGTCAAACTTTTGTCCAAAGTGGTTGTGTCTTTCTACATCCCCACCAGCAATGTATGAGAATTCCACTTGCTCCACATCCTCCCCCAAATTTGGTATATGGCCAGTCTTGTTAACTCTAAGCATTCGAATAGGTGTGTAGTGGAATCTCATTGTGGTCTTAATTTGCGTTTCTTTAGTGACTAATGATGTTGAGCATCTTTTCATGTGCTTATGGGCCATTTGTACATCTTCTTTGAAGAAATGTCTATTCAAATACTCTGCCCATTCTTCTAACTGGATTAGTCATTTTATTGAGTCATTTGAGATCTTTATATATTCTGGATACTAGACTCTTCTCAGATATACAATTTGCAAATTTTTTCTTCCATTCTATGGATTGTCTTTTCACTTTCTGCCCTTTTTTAAAAAATTAGATTGTTTTCTTCTTATTGAGTTTTGAGAATCCTTGTATATTCTGAATACAAGTCCCTTATCATACATGTAATTTGCAAATGTCTTCTCCCAGTTTGTGAGCTGTATTTTCTATTCTCTTAACAGTGACTTTCAAAGAACAGAAATTCTTAATTTTGACGAAGTCTAGTTTATCAATTTTTTTCTTTATGGCTAGTGGTTTTGGTGTTATTTCTTAGGAATCTTTGCTTAACCCAAGGTCAGACAGGATTTTCTCCTACATTTTCTCCAAGAAACTTTGCAGTTTGGGGTTTAATATTTAGGTTTATGACGCATTTTGAGTTAATTTTTGTGTATGACGTGAGCGTCAGATCAATGCTCAGTTTTTGCAAATAGCTATCCAGTCATTCCAGTACCGTTTGTTGAAGAGTGCCCTTTCTCTGCTGAATTTGCACCTTTATTGAAACTCAATTGACCACATATGTGTGAGTCTGTTTCTGAACTGTTTACTTTGTCCCGTTCATCTATTTACCTATCCTTATTTCAGCACCACACTATCTTGATTATCGAAGCTTTATAGTAAGTCTTGAAATCAGTTAGTGTAAAAACCCCCTTTTTAGGGAACGGCATGAAGGACTCTTGTTCTTTGAAGCATCCCTTAAGAAATTCCGTTTAAAGACGGTCACCTCACTCTCTCCAGGCTCCCGTTCTACCTCCACAGAGCAGCATGGACATGACTTTGGGTAGGCCACGCCTCCTTCGGGTCTCAAGTTCCTCATCCCCCAAAATGGGGAACCTGTGCTACCTTCTAGGCATGCTGGGAGAACTCAGTCAGATGATGCTCGCAGTGCCCGGACCGGAGTGAGCGTGTGATAACTGGTCTCCAGGTGAGTGTTGAGGTTCACCTGGGAGCCAGGATGGGGCTCCCATCTTGGTGTCCTCATCCTCAGCAGGGCCTGGAGTGTCAGCCTACCCCAGGTCACCAGGCAGCGGAGGAGTCAGACGTGGAGCCGCCAGCAGAGCCCTGCTGCCCCTTGGACAGCTGTGGACAGCAGCTGGGAGACAAGCCCCCCAGAGAGGCAGGCGCTCCACACATCCGGCCACGAGGGGCTCTGCCGGAGTCCGGCCCAGGGGGATATGAAGACAGTTCCCAGGAAGCCATGCCCCTAATGCCCACAGCAACTCTGGAGGAAAAGAAAGCCAACTGCTTCCTGCCATCCATGCCAGCGCCAAACACACCCAAAGAAGGGTAAGCCGTCCTCTTATGCCACCCGCAGCCCCACTCCCTGACCCCAGAAAGATCGCTCTTCTGCTGAGTGACAGGTGAGGTGAATTCTAGTCCTGATTGCACCAGACCTGATGTAGGACCTTGGGCAAGTCATGCCCCTCTGTGCCTCAATTTCCCCATCTGTATAATAGCTCTAAGACCAGAATTCCTTGCTCTGTAGGCCTATACTTTAAGGGCACGTCCCCTCACGGGGATGTGAGGGGATGAGGAGCCCCTCTGAGATTAGAAGGGCAGCGGGATGAGGCTGGGTGGTGGGCCAGAGTGTCCTGGGGCTGAGGGGAGGGAGGCGCAAGGGGAAGCCTTGCGCTGAGCCCCTCCCCTCTTGGGGGGTTTCTCCCTTGTTTAGGGGCCGGGCTGTGGAGACCCAGCTGGCAGCAGGGCCTGATCCTCCACCGGTAAGCAGAGCCGTAGTGGGGCTGCGGCTGGGGTGGGGGTGGGGACTCAGGATGAGAACGGGGCAGAAGTGGAAATGGAGTCAAACCAGGAAAGACGTGAACGTGTGCCTGTGTGATTGTGTGAATGTGCACATTTATGTGCGTGCACGTACATGTGTGTCTACACGTGTACATGTGTGTTTGCGTGCGTGTGCATCTTGGGTTGGGGATCAAGGATGCTGTTACACTCTGGAGCTCTTGGGTTCACCCCAGGTCATGGCCTTTCCCACATCAGCATGGATTTCTTCTGCCCGTTTGCCCTCAGCCCTGCCACACAACCCAAAGCTTCCCTGAGCCCTTAGGAGGCTTCTAAACCCCTGCCAGCCGGCCCCATCCCCGCCAGCTCTGAATGGTCTTATCTGGCCCTGTCGCTTTCTGCTGTGTTCACCGGCAAAAGCCCAACCCTGGCTAAACCCAACCGCCCAGTTACCCTCCACCTGCACCCGAGCTGCTAAACATGCTTGGAGAAAAACCATCTTCCTGTTGATGGGTTACACTTTCAAGCAATGACCACCAATGTCAGATGCTCCTGGCAATCCTCTGCCGTTCCCTGGCCATCACCCGCACCCCCTGCCCCCGCCTCGTGCCTGCTCCAGGATGTCATTTCACAATAGCGCTCTCCATGCCATCATCTTGGCTGGTGATCTGGTCTCCTGTGACACTGAAAGGCGAGAAGCATCAAATGATAAGAATGATACGTGCATCTTCCCACCCCAACCCCACCACCCCCGCCTTCTACGGGTTACAGTGGAAGCCGTGAAGATAGGTCCTTGCCCCCACCCACAGCTGGCCCCTGACTTGGTCATTAGATCCCGTCCCCTCCCCGCTCTCTGGCTCATGATCAGTCTCTCCATTTCTACAGGATCATTCCCATCAGCGTACAAACATGGGGTAGAATCTACAATATTAAAAACCAGACACAAACACCTCCCCTGGCCCCCACGCCTCTCCAGTGACGGCCTTCTTTCTCTGCTCCCTTCTACGGTTGTCCATGCACTCATTCCATTTGGTCTTTCCTCAACCTGTCCCAATATGAGACCAACGGAGTTCTCAAAAATCTCTATTTTGCTAAATCAACGGGAAAAGCTCTGTCCTTACAGAGCCCACCTGGCGCAGTGGGCCCCTCCCTCCTCCTCAACGCTGTCTTCTCAGGCTCCAGGACAGCCCACCCTTGCCGCCCGCCTATTCTGCAGGCTCCTTCCCCCTCTGCCCCCTGGATTTCATCTTCTCTACTCTTGGGGCTCCACCCTCTGATTTCTCATCTCCACTCTCTCCCTGGGGAATCCCACTCAGTCCCTCTGATGCCTCTCAAATCCACATCTCCACGCCAGATGTTGCCTTCAATTTCCAGACTCATCTATCCAACTGCCTAACTGAATTCCACTGGGTGGCTAATTCACTTCACAAACCGAATGTGACCAGAACAGAGCGTTTGATTTTCCACCTCAACCCTGCTCCTCCCCTGGTCTTCCTCGTCTCAGCAAACGACACTGCCATGCACTCAAGTGCTCACGACCACCTCTGATTCCTCCTCCTCCCTCCACAATCCCTCCACACCTGATGCATCAGGAAGCCCCTCCTAGCACTGCCTACAAAATAAATCCTGACTCCATCCCTTCCCTCCACCCTGGTCCAAACCTCATCCTCTTAGAATAAGACCCGGGATTTTCACCAAGAATCACAAGGACCTATGTCCAGCCACTCTGGTCTGACTTGCATACCTTGAATATGGTCAGCTCAGTCCCACCTCAGGGCCTTTGCACTTGCTGTGCTCTCTGCCCATCACTCTCCCCGCAACACTCTCATGGCTGACTCCGTGGAGTCATTCAGGTTTCAACTTAAATGTCACTTTCTCGGCAGACCTTCCTTGGCCGCCTGATCTCAGTGGCTGGTCACTCCAACACATTATTCCGTTTTATTGTCTTTGTAGAACTTCCTCCGTCTCACATTATCTTATTAAAGTCTTGACTTATTCATTATCTAGATCATAAGCTCCCTGAGGGCAGCTGCTCTGTTTTACTTACTACTCCATGCTCTGTGCCTAAAACAATGCCTGACACACAGCAGGTGCTTAATATGAATTTGTCGACTAAATGAATGGATGGGAAGAGTATGAGGTATTTCTCTGGGCTGGTGAGAAGTCAGAGGAGAAATAAGAAATAGTCCTTGTGTGTGCGTTTCCTTCCCCTTCCCTCCCTGCCACATGCACAGCCTGGGCTGGATCCTGGAGGGGATAGGAGAGCGCACAATTCAATTCCACAGCATGTGCCGAGAGTATGTGACATGCCAGGGCCTGTGCTTGGAGGGAAGGGCAAGCAGAGCAGAGGACTGCAGCCTGCCCCTGGGATTGCGTCTGAGCCAGCGGGACCAGCTGTGTGAGGCAGAGACGAGGGATCCCAGACAGGGAACGCTGCAGGCCTTCAGCGAGGGAGGCCTGGGGTCCCCACCAGGAGGCTGGCTGGAGGGGGAGGGCTGGTATCAGGCCACGCAGGGTGGGTGGAATTTGGACAAAGCTGGGGAGTAGCCAGGGCACCCAGGCAGCAGGTCCAGCCCAAGCAAAGGTACAGAGTCGGGAATGAACATGGAGCAAGGGGTGACAATGGAAAGATGGGCCTCGTGGGACAAGAATATTGGGTATCATGGATGAGGCGGGTGGACAGCTAGGTTGGGCCGTGATGTGAGGCCTCCAGTGCTGGAGCGACGTGTTGGACTTGGCATCTCAATGTCCCCCAGTGCTTTGCACAAAGTGGGGCTAAGATAAATGCTAGAGTGGAAGCACCCTGGGGCGGGGGACTTAGGCATGCCTGTATCCACGTGACTGTGAGGAGGCATCGCATGGGCGGGTGGGGATGGATCTGAAGGTCAGAGGGATCGCAGGGCAGTGGCAGAGGACGAGCTACACGGAGGTCAGTCCAGCAGCAAGCGCGGGACACATTGTGCCAAGTGGAAGGGGCTCCGTGAGCGCAGAGGGAGGAGTCCAGATGTGGAGGGGTGGAGAAGCTGCAAGAAAAGAGGTCATGGCCTTGGCATCATCCTTCACCTGCAGGCTGAGCACCTGCCGGGAGCAAAGCTCAGTGCTGGGTACTAGAATAATGGGGGAGGTTCCGAAACAGACGCCCAGCCTCCCGGGGCTCTAATTCTGCAGCTGAGATGGGGCCACAGGCCCTGGACTTTGGCAGCCCTGAGGGCCACGGGAGAGGCGACGACAGACTGGGCTCATGGCTGCCCCTTGGGGTCCCCACCTAGGACCTCGCCCACCACAATGGAGTAGGAGCTCCAGAACTGCTTTTGATGTTTGTTTGTTTTAAGCCGGACAGAAATTGAGAGTTTGCCCTTAATTCAGGAGAACAATGGTCTTAGGTGGCGGAAGGTTGGGGCTCCCCTCTGGGCTGCAGAAGATCAACTGTAGTTACTTTCAACGCTGCGTTTCCTGAGCACTTACTCTGTGCTAGCTGCTGTATTCACATCTCCTCAGATGTCACTAAGAACAGGGGAATAAGACAAACACTGCGGGATTTGCTTCTATGTGGAATCTAAAAAGCAAAACAAATGAACACACACACACACACACACACACACACACACAAACAGAAACAGACTCAGATTCAAAGAACAAACTGGTGGTCACCGGAGAGAAAAGGGGGAGGGTGGGGGGATGGGCAAAACTGACGAAGGGGATTAAGGAGAATAAAATTCCAGTTATAAAATAAATAAGTCACGAGGACGTAATGTACAGCACAGGGAATATAGTTGATAATATTGTAATAACTTTGTATGGTGACGGATGGTAACTAGACTTGTCGTGGTGATCATTTCATAGTGTATGTAAATGTCAGATCACTACGTTGTACACCTGAAACCAATATAATATTGCATGTCAACTATAATTTTTAAAAAAAGAAAAATGGAATAATCAGAGTCGTTGGTTAACACAAATTTATCGAGGACGATGCGCCACAGTGACATTGGGGGCTTAATGCTGAATGGAGCTTACCATCTGGTTGGGGAGAGACCATTAACACGTGAACCAATAAATCCAGTTTCTCTGTAGACAGTGACAGTGCTGTGGAGCGAGTCATGAGGGATGGGGCAATGGATGACGGATGCAGGCGGATGACGGATTCTCTGAGGGAGCGTTCAGTGGTCCCAGAGGTGACATTTGAGTCAAGGCCTGAAAGACAGGGCTGAGGCGTGCACGGATGTAGGAGAGCATTTTGGACAGAGGTGGCCAGGCCCTGGTGGGACATGAGCCGTCAACACTACACCCAGCAGGAAGGCCGGAGTTTGGGAAGGAAGCAAGGGCGGGAGAGGGCAGGAGACGAGGTCAGAGGCGTGGGGGTGGCAGACCACGCAGGGTCTTGAAGGCCAGGGTGAGGGGGTTGGATGAATTCTAAGTCTACATTAAGCCATTGAAGAGTTTCAGGCAAGACAGTGAGATGAGCTGGTGAAGGCTGGAAACACTGATGTGGCAGCTGGGGGCATAATGAACTTGGGTGGGGGCCAAGGTGGAGACTGTGGTGGTACACTGGAGAAAGATGGCGGCATGACTCGGACCAGGGCGGCAGCAGCAGAGATGGGGAGGGCATGGCTCTGACAGATTTCAAGGGGGTGGCACTACAGGACTCGCCGGTGGGCGGCAGGGATGGGTGGAAAGTAGGTGGGAGAAAGAGGAAGCCAAGGGGCCTCCGGGTCTGGGGCCCAAGCAACAGGCGGTGTCGTTAACGGGGGTGGTGGCGCTGGGGAACAAGCAGGTGGGAGGAACCTAAGGTTCTGCTTTGGTCGTGTTATAACAGCCAAGGAGAAATGTCAAGGAGGATGTCTGGAGTTAGGAAGGACAGAGAAGGCAGGATTGGATACGTAAATGTGAGAAAAATGGAAACGGCGTCTAGGGAGAGAGCGAACATAGAGCAGGAAGAAGTCTGAGGCCAAATCATTGGGTCTCCACAACACTTAGAAATTGAGCGAGAGCCAGCAAAGGAGGCCAGGGAGGGGCAGCCACTGAGAGAGCGGGGGTCTCGAGAAGAAAGCATTTCCGGAAGGATGGAGAGGTCGTCTGCGTCTCCCACTGCTGAGGGGCGGCAGAGACCTCACCGGGGCCTTGTAAGAGCAGCCGTGGGGAGTGGCGGGGGAAGGCCGACGGGAGGAAAGCAGGGGATGGAAGACAGTGGGCTCTTCCAGGGAATTTTGCCCCCAGTGAAGAGCTGAGAACTCGGGTGGCAGCTGGAGGTGCTCGTAGCGTCAGGAGAGATTTTGTGTGGCAGGGAGATAACACAGCGTGTTGACCTGCCGGTGGGAGTGATCTGGCAGAGAAAGCAAAGCTGATACTCCAGGAAGAGCCAGTGTGGGGCAAGAGCTGCGTCTTTGATGGAGAGGAAGGGCTGGGCTGGAGCCTGCGTGGCACGGCCTGATTGGAGGTTGGGGGGACTGCCCATCCCTGCAGTGGGAGGGGCAGAGGCAGGCGGTGGCTGGATTTGCTGAATGAATGAGTATTGAGCGCCTGCCGTGTGCTCATTGCTGGGTAGATATGGATAAAAGAAACAGACAAGGTCCTGCCCTCGTGAAGCTTACCTCTGGTCACTTGAGCAAACAACAGGCATGGACGAGGCCACTGCAGGGCATGCTGATGGTAAGGAAGGAAATACACGAGTGGTGGGACCAGGAGTAACTCACTCAAGACCTCAGCTCAGGGGCCGGCCCAGTGGCGCAGTGGTTAAGTTTGCACGTTCTGCTTCGGCGGCCTAGGGTTCGCTGGTTCGGATCCCAGGTGCGGACATGGCACCGAATGGCAAAAGCCATGCTGTGGTGGGCATCCCACATATAAAGTAGAGGAAGATGGGCACGGATGTTAGCTCAGGGCTGGTCTTCCTCAGCAAAAAGAGGAGGATTGGCAGTAGTTAGCTCTGGGCTAATCTTCCTCAAAAAAAAAAAAAAAAAACCCCACAGCTCAGAGAGCTGGGAGGGGGCAGAGCCCAGGTCGAGTGGGTGGGAGCCTAGTGGGATGCATGTGAGATTTGGGGAACATCCTCCAGGGCCCCAGAGAGCAACGGGCTATGTGAGGATCCCTGGAGAGCGGGTGGCAGGGAGAAGTTGGCCAGAGGCCTCCCCGATCCCCAACCCCTGTCCTGTCCCCAGGAGGTGAGGGATGCTGGAGAGAGGATGGAGCTGGACCATGTGCAGAAGCAGCCCCAGGAACCCACGGTGGCCACAGGGGCCCAGAACCCTGGGAGCCTCTGCCAGGGCTTCATGAAGTGCTTGCTGGAGGTGGAGGAGGAGGAGGAGGAGGCCACGCATCGCAAGGCCACCAAGGCCCAGGCCCTGCCAAACTGGAAGTCCCCCAGGGCCCCGACCCCTGTGCCCAACTCAGCCCTGGGCCTGCCTCTGACCCTTCCTCAGACCCCTCCCATGGCCCCATCCTGGGCCCGGCCTCCAGCCCCTGGACCAGTCCCTGCCTCCGTGGGAGCCCCGGTCTTGGCCTCAGTGCCCGCCACGGCCCTGCCAGCTTCTGCCCCGGACCTGGGCTGGAGAAGGACAGAATTCTTGCCCCAGAGCTGCCAGAGGAGCCTGAGCTATGCCAGAGCACGGTAGGAGCGCCCCGAAAGGGTATGCGGGGTCAACGCCTGGGTCCCTGTGTCCTTGGCATCTGTCTGCCAGACTCTCGCCCTGTCACTGCACCTGTCTGTCCCCCGCCTGTGTCCCCTCTCCATTTCGGCGCACTCTCTCCCACATCTAGGTCCCCTTTCTCCTTTCAGACCCCTTTCTCTTTCCAACTCCCCCTGATGGTGTCTCTCCCTAGTCTCCCCTCACCTCTGCCTCACTCCTCCGCCCGGTCACTCTTAGACGCTCCTGACCCCTCAATGCCTCCCCGAGGCTCCTCCCTGGCCCTCCGCTGGCTCTGGGCGTGGGGCAGGGCGGGCGGCTGGATGTGTGACCCGGGCCTGGGTTCTGTCCTCTGCAGGCAGGAGCCAGAAGACCGCTGCCTCCTGAAGCTGCACCAGAACTGGGAGGAGAGGGCCGAGGACCACCTCACCCTGAAGCAGGAGGAGGGTGAGCTGAGCCAGCTGAGGCCCTCGCGGGGGCAGGCCAGGCCAGGCCCTCAGACCTTCGGGGTTTATAGGTCCAGGGTGGGGGGAGTGACAGATCACACCGCTGCCCTGACGGCCCTGTGCGGGGGGCCCAGTGGGGATTATCTGTACTTGGCTGGGCCACTGTGCAGGCTAGGAGGCTGACCCCAGCTCACACACCGCTGGGTAGGGGAGCCAGGAGGCACACAGGGTCCTCTCACTTGGGGTCCAGTTCTCTTCCCAGCCCCTGAGCCGCCTCTCTGAGTGAAGGACACAAGGCCTGCAAGGTGCTTTTGGCCCTGGGGGCCTTTCCGCCTCCCTCAACCAAGCCCGGTCTCTTGGTTCTCCGTAGAGGCAGGCTGGACGGGAAGCAGGCCTCCAGAGTCCCCGTATGTCTAAACCATCTCTCACCATTTGACGAGAAGGCCTCCCCTGGACAGGTCCCCATTTCCCACTGATCCCACCTCCACCAAACAATCAGAAAGTTCTGAACATCTATCCGGCGTGAGGCACTGTGACCTTTGCCCTCTAGCGTCCTCGCAGCTGGGCCCTGTGACTCCACTTACCCACGCTGCGAGGAGGAGTGGGCACCATGCCCTCCCTCTGTGCACACTGTCGACCCAGCCACCCCTCACGCTGACCCTGAAGAACGGAGGTGTGTCCTGCTTCCGCGCTCTGCCTCTCCCCATAGTCTGAGTCCCTCTTGGCCAGAGTGGCCCCTTCTTCTGCCCTCCCTGAATGCACTGTCCACCTGGCCATGGTGATAGAGGACACTGGGCAGGAGGTGGTTGGAGGGGACGGGATGAATGGTGGGAACGGACACTGTCCCCGCCCCAGCCTTCCGAAGCTACTTTGAGATCTTCAACGGCCATGGCGAGGTGGACGCACAGAGCCTGGAGAACATCTTGCTGCTCGTGGGCATCTCCCTGATGCCGGCGCAGGTGGAGGATGCCCTGATGAGCGCGGACATCGACGGTGAGCCGGGAGGCTTTGCGCTGGGTCCCAGGCGGGGCCGGCTCTGCGGGCAGAGTGAGACCTGTCTCGTTGCACGGGGCTCTGCACAGAAAGGTGCTGAGTTTGGTTTCATGCTCTGCTGTCACCGTCTAGAAATGCTTAAGAATTTTTAAATGAGGGGCCCTGTCCTGCGTTTTCATTTTGTGCTGGGCCCCACAAATTACGTAGCTGGTCTGGCCCCAAAAGTTGATGCCCCCTGAGCACCTACTCAGTGCCAGGTTCTGGGGACCCAGAGATGCCCAAGACCTACTTCCTGACCCCAAGATGTAGGTGATCTCTGAGATCACTTCTTTTTAGCCCCTCCTGTGTGCCTCATTGGACATTCCTCCATGACTCGGTCACTCACTTTACCAGCTGTGTGACCTTGGACAGGTCACTGAAGTTCACCAAACCTCAGTTTCCCCATTTGTAAATGGGGCTGGGAGCAGTACCCACCTCACCGGGCTGCTGCGGAGATTACATGAGCACAACGCTGTGCACACCGAATGTATCCAGGAGACATTAGCCGCTGGTATTATTCACCCACTAAATATTTATTTAATGCCTACTGTGTGCCCATCGCTGGCTGGGCACCGAGAATGAAGAGATATATTAGACCCATGAGACTTGTCCTCCGGGTGCTCACATAGCCAGTGACACAGAAGTAAGAGACATCAAAGGAAGCAGCACTTAAGGTTGCTTGGAGGAAGGGATCAGGAAGGAAAGCTTCCTGGAGGAGGTGATGCCAGAGCCAAATTGTGAAAGATTAAGCAGGAGTTAGGCAGGGAGAGAAGAAAGAATAGGGATATTCCTGGTGGCAGAAATAACCTGGACAAAGGGAAGAGGTGAGTGGAGTTACACGTGGTTTGGTTGGCCAGAGGCAGGGAACGAGCAGTGGGGCTGTGGGGCCTGGGCTCCTGACCACCACATGTCCAACCCTGCCGCCTCCATCACTGTACCAGCTTGAATCCTCACACACCAGCCAGGACTTGACCCCAGCTCAGCCCCGGCACGAGCCTGGGCAACTGCCTTCTTTATTCTGTGTGCCTCAGGCCTCATCTGTGACATGGCGATAAGAGTATTAAGCAGCCTTAGAGGCTGGTTTTAATTAGAGACCATCCATTAATCTGGCAAGTAATTCAGAGGACAAGTGCTAAGACCCACCTGTCTTCAGCCCGAAGGACACAGTGCAGAACCAAACAGACCCAGTTCCTGCCTCCCAGAAACCGGTTAAGTCCCAGATCTTGCGAGTATGTGGTTGAAGTGCAGGACTGCTATGAGAGTGTTGGACGGGGTCCGCCCTGGGCTGCTCTGACTTCTCTGAGGAAGTGATGGTTAAGCCGAAGCATTAAGTGAAAGAGTTGGAGGGGGGTGGAGAGAATTCTAGGAAGAGGAAGCAGCATGTGCAAAGGCCCCGAACTGGAAAGCACGTGGCCCCTGGTGGGAGAGCACGTTAGCGCTGGGGGAGTGTGGATCCACTGAGGCTGGAGACGGGAAACAGGCAGGTCCTGCAGGGCCTTGAAGGCCGGGGTAGGGATCTCACCGGTACATATGTGTTCTCACGCAGTGCCTAGCACACGGTAGGAACAACAGTTGCTGACGTCTAGGGAGCTCGTGTTACAAACCTGGCCCTGTTCCAAGCCCTGCCTCACTTTATCTCCCCTGAGATGGTGTTATGGCCATCCTCACCCTGAAGATGAGAAAACGAATGCTTAGTGGGGTTAAGAGACTTTGCCAAAGTCACACGGGTAGTAAGTGGTGGACCTGGGATATGAACCCAGACGGCTGCCTCCAGGGCCCGAGTTCTGGGAGCTTCTAATCCTGGAGATTTTAATTTCCACCTTTTTTACTTTCCACCATCCTGTGTGCACCATGCGTTCTGCATTGAATATGCGTTACTTTTATAATCAAACCCATGAGTAGATACTAATGACCACGCTGGGGCTGCAATGCCCGCCCACCCCATTGTTCCTTTGGCCTCCACAGGAGATGGGCACGTGGGCTTCAAAGATTTCCTGGCTGTGATGACAGACACCAAGCGTTTCTTCTGCTCTGTGGGTGAGCAGGGATGAGCCCAGGGCCATCAGAGCTGGGGGAGGGGCCAGGCAGCTGGGGGTGGGAGCTTCCAGGACTGCCAAATGGTAATGGCAGCCACCATCCCGTGTCCCCAGAGCAGAACGCCCTGACGGACATGGCTCCCCCGAACCCCCACACTCTGTTCTTTGAGATCCTGTCCCTGCTGGTGGAGATGATGGCCTTACCCGAGGCAGCCTTAGAAGAGATCACCAAGTGAGTGGGGCTGGTTGTTGGGGGGTGGAGGGTTATGGACGTGGAAATGGCACCCGGCATTTCAGCAACTGAAGACTTTTGATAGTTAGGACTCTTAGTTGCAAGTAAAAGAATCCAAATAAAACTGGCTTAAGCAAAAAGGGAATGTATTGGCTCACACAACTGGTCAGGGCCTCAGGAATGGCTGGATCCAGGAGACCAGGTGATACCATTAAGGCTTTATCTCTCCTGCTTGTCTCTGTGCATTGGATTCAAGCTCAGCTAGGCTCTTCTCACAGTGGGAAGGATGGCAACTGGTAGCTCCATTACTCACGTCCTCATAGTTTAGCCACCTCAGCAGCAAGAGGAGCTCTTTCTTGGAGTACCCACATAACAACCCCAGAAAAGGAATGTGATGGAGCCTACCTGGGGCCAGAGAAAATGAGAGATGGAAGACTCCCTATGTTTCCAGGGTGGGCTGGTGGGTGCTTAGTGGTTCATCTAAGGAAGAGATGGCTGCATGCAACAGCTGGTCTTGCTGAGTGTCACACAGAGGCTTGTCTCTGACACTCAGTAAGCTGGATCGTTTTTCCCTACCACAGACCAGGCCCTTTCCTCATGGGGCTGGGGCTGGGGGGTGATTGCAGGCTGCTCCAGCAACACCAACTTAGCAATCCTAAAGGCAAGAGATCTTTTTTCTTCCTAGCATCTATAAATCACTCTAAATATATATAACTCTCATGGTCATAAATGTATAATTTTAAAAGCAATAAAACCAATTCCTATATATCCATTTCCTCAGGTTTTTTTTAAACTTTTCTAATTTCTTTATTATTTTTAATTTTTTCGGTGAGGAAGATTGGCCCTGAGCTAACATCTGTGCCAATCTTCCTCCACTTTGTATGTGGGACGCCACCACAGCATGGCTTGATGAGTGGTGTGTAGATTCATGCCCGGAATCCGAACTTGGGAACTCTGGGCCACAAAAGTGGAGCATGTAAACTTAGCCACTACTCCGGTGAGTCAGCCCCATTTCCTAAGTTTAACAATAGATCATTTCCTTTTTTTTTTTAAAGAACATTTTATTTATTTTTATTTATTTGTTCTTGCTGAGGAAGATTGGCCCTGAGCTAACATCTGTGCCCTTCTTCCTCTATTTTACATGTGGGATGCCTACCACAGCATGGCTTGATAAGCGGTGTGTAGGTCCACACCTGGGATCTGAACTGGTGAACCCTAGGCCACCAAAACAGAGTGTGTGAACTTAACCACTGTGCCACCGGGCTCGCCCAACTGTAGATCATTTCTAATAAACTTGAAGTCCCTATGCGCCCCATCTGAATCACAAAACACTTTCCCCCAAACCCAAACTCACCATTATTCCCTTGATTTTTCTTATAAAATTTCACTGCTTATTTTTCCCCTCATCGTTTATTGAAAACACTTTCCAGTGAACGCTTATACACCCACCATCAAGGTTCTATCATTGTCATTTTTCTATACTTATCTTTTTTCTATCCATTCCTCTATCTGTTCATCAGTCTGTATTATTTTTTATTCATTTCAAGGTAAATTATAATTCTTTCCCTCTAAATACTTCAGCATATGTATTATTAACTAAAGATCAATAATTGTTTAGAGCTTTTTTCATCTTTTGAGGTGTAATTTACATTCAGTGAAATGCACAAATCATCAGTGTGTGAGTTTCAGCAAATGCCCAACCCCAGCAATCTGACTGCCTGCCAAGGTACGTAGGACTTTACCATCACTCCAGAAAGTGCCCACAGGACCTTTCCCAGTCGGTCCCTCAGTCCACCCCCCAGAGGCACCCATTCTTCTAATTTTTTTCCACTGCGGATTGGTTTCGCCTGTTTAACAGTGTCAGGTAAATGGAAACATACACTATGTAGTCTTTCATGCCTAGCTTCTTTCACTCAGCGTTATGGTTTTGCGATTCCTCCATGTTGTTGTGGGCATCAACAGTTCATTCCTTTTCATTGCTGAGTAGTATTCCATTACGTGAATATACCACAATTTGTCCATCCATTCTTTTACTGATGAATTTCTGAGCTGTTTCCAGTTTGGGGTTATAATGAATTAAGCTGCTATTGACGCCTTTGTGCAGGTCTTTTTGTAGACATATGTTTTGTTTCTCTTGGGTAAATACCCAGAAGTGGAATTGCTGGGTCATAAGGTAGGCGTATTTTACTTCTAAGAAATCACCAGACTTTTTTGCAAGTGGTTGCACCATTATGCACGCCCACCAACGACATGAGAGAGTTCCAGTTGCTCCACATCTTATAAAATTCACTATCATCAGTCTTTTTTCATTTCAGTCATTCTGGTGGATATGTGGTGGTACTTTGGTTTTTATTTACATTTGCTTGTATTCATGAATGCTTTGTTGTTTAGCCTTCCATATTTTTGAATTTTGTATGAGTGGAATCATATTGCAAATCTTCTGTTACTTGCTTTTTCTCCTCAACATTCTGTTTTTGTGATTTATCTGTGTTCTCGTGTGTAGCTATGGATCATTTATCATCTCCATGGCTGGGTACTAGTATGCAGTATGACTATATAACAATGTATTTATTCATTCTGCTGTTGGACATTAGGCTCTGCTCTGTGTCCGGCTATGGGAGAAACTGTGTGAATATTCTTGCGTATGTCTCCTGGGACTCATGGGCAAAAGTTTCTCCAGAGCAGCAACTTTCAAACTTTTTGGTCTCAAGACCCCTTTACACTCTTAAATATTATTGAGGACACCAAAGAACTTGTATAAATATTTTTTACATTTGAACTTAAAACTCAGAAAATTTTAAAATACTTATTAATTTATTTAATGATAAGAACCCCATTACATTTTAACATAAAAAACATTTTAAAGGAAAAATAGCTATATTTTCCAAAACAAAAAAAAAGTTAATGAGAAGAAGGGCATTGTTTTACAATGTTGCAAATCCCTTGATGTCTGACCTTAAAGAAGGCTGGAGTCCCATATCTGCTCCTGCGTTCGATCTGTTGCAATATGTTGTTCTGGTTGACATATATGAAGAAAATCTGGCCTCACACAAACATGTCATTGGAGAAGGGAGTATTCTAATAGTCTTTTCATTTAATATCCACATATCATGTGGATATTTTTCTTTGATACTACACCAAACTTGACAAGTGGTAGTGTCTTAAAGGTTGGTTGCAATGTGGAATCTGAAACCATATCAATGAACTGTTCATATTCTTTTGAATAAAAATCTATTGGCCTGTTTTGTAATTTGAATGGATCTTTTTCCATGAATTTTTTTTTGTAACATGCTTTGGTCGTTTAGAAAAGATTGCAGATCTTTTAAATGTTGACACATTTCATTATAATTATTATGTATATCATGTATATAATTACTTATATCACCACTAATATCAGAAAGGTCTCTAAGAATTAGAAGTGTTGTGTTTGGCTGTATTTCATTCACTTTGTCTGCTTTAAACTATTCTGTATATGGACATGTATATGCTCATGATAGTGGACTTAAATTTTGCAAAATTCTAATTTTACTTGAAAGTTCAAATCTCATCATAGGCAACAAATGCTTTCAGTTGTTTTCCTTGAAGTGAGGGCTAACTTCATCCATTTGTTTCCTCCCCAAAGCCCCAGTACGTAGCTGTCTATTCCTGTTGTAAGTCCTTCTAGTTCTGTGTGAGCCACCACCACAGCACAGCTCCTGACAGACAAGCCGTGTGGTTCTGCGCCCGGGAACTGAACCCAGGCTGCCAGGGTGTGAGCGCGGAACTTTAAGCGCTAGGCCATCAGTGCTGGCTCATCCTTCATCCATTTTTGAGAAAATATCTGCCAAATACCCAAGTAAAAATGGCATTTGGTGTGTAGGAGAGGAAACATTTTCCTTTATGCTTTAGAGTTTCCAGCTGGGACTGACATAAGACGGATTAGCAGGAGAAAAGCATATGAATTTTATTTCCATGCACATGGGAGACCTCACAAGAAAGATGAAGACCCGAAGAAGTGACTATGCCTAAATTCTTAGACACTAGACTTAGCAAAGAGTGGCAATTATAGAAAAGTGACTAACATGTATGGGCAGACTAAAGGAAGATGAGTTATTTTAGCAAGGTCTGGTAGAGGATTCCCCTCCCTGTGATGAGAATGTTTCTTCCTCCTGTCCAGGGAGAGCACCTCTCACATGGGAATTTCATCTCCTGCTTTCAGAATGAAAAAGGAAGGTCAGAACGTCCTTCTGGCATCTGCTGTTTTTCAAGTGCCTGTAATTCAAAATAATCAATATGCCAAAGTGGCATATTTTGGGGTGGCATGTCCTGAACTCCTTTGTTTCCCCCATCTGAAACCTCTCTAGAAGTTCCATATATTGAAAGCTCGATTGATGGCCGTGGAGAGAAATTCAAGTTACCAGTTGTGAAGTAAGAGATCTGCAAAGGGGGAGAAAAACATAGAACAAGTGGAAAAGAACAGATCTAAGCAAATTACCCCATATTTCGCTGGATCAGTCTCTTAATCCTAAGAATAGGTCAGTTCAGTCAGACAGTTGCAGCTCATTTCAGGAGGCATTGGTGTAGGTGGAAGTGGGGTACCCACCTAAGTTAGGCCTCTGGATGGTGAGCAATCAGGTCTTTAATAAGGGGCATTTCTTTGGAAACAAAAGAGAAACATAGGTTAACAGAACGAATTACAAACTCAGTTTTTGAGTCCAGAGGGCAGCCAGTGAGGAAGACTTTTGCAGGTTGGGCGCAAAGGCTTTAGAGAGCGGAGTGAAGGCAGACGGGGGCAATCTGATGAAATTTTTGGCTTGCAGTTTGAACGCGTTTGTTGATGGCACTGGGTGTTCCGGTGAACCTTTAGAGCGGCCCATATAGTGGCAGGCACAAAGGTCGCTTACACGTGATCTGTTGCGGTGATTTTGTTTTTGAAGTTTACATTAAGCCATTCAGCTTTAGCTTGCAGGGCTTTGGGGAAAGGGCAGTCCTAGTTTTTAGTGATGCCAAGTCAGGAAGGT